ATATATGCCATATTTTATAACTTTTATTTTATAATAACGTCCTATACGCAAATACGCAATACAAAAATATTCATGGAATACAAGCTGCGCTCATCCACTAGCTGGACACTAACTTCTTTTTTGCCGTCAGGATGCGGAGGTCTATTGATAAAACGAGATGCAGACTTTTTCTATAGAAGTTATAGCTACTACAACCCAGCAGATAACGATTGGTGCAGTTGGAGAATAACAGCGCCCTTTAATAGGGTTGTTCACAAGCTTCAATTTAGAGTCTTCTTCTTGGTATTGCMAAAACGCATGCTGATTTGAGTTTCCCCTTTCCTAGCTTCAAGTATATCGAATTCATTCCTCAGCAAAAATCTTCTAGTAGTTTATAATGAAAGCACAACACATGATAAGAGTAGTGTATTTTAATATTTATMAAAGATACTTAGCACACTTCGCACCAATCCCAACGTCTCCATTTTATCGCTGCTTTCCTYCTCAATGATTATAAAACTAGTGCCCCAGCACCGTTGAATTTACTCTGCGAACAGAGGTTCTTTTCTCACCCGCAGAAAAGAACCTCTGTTCGCAGAGTACGTTGAATTCCTTCACATAAAAATCTTGCCGTATTTTCTTCTTTTCTTTCTTGACTTGTGATCATTGTGACTTTCTATTAAGGAAACACTACAGATACAACATCTTTTATCGAGGAATCTCCGATGCTCCTCCATCGCKCYYYTKKCGATWAATAGCTTTTACAACTTTAAAGAGGATGCCTCAAAAAGCTCCGTTATGCCTCAACTCTAAACCAACTGTAATAGACAGTAAAACCACTCTAAATTGCCTCTAGGTGGGCCAAATTGCCAACTACGCGGGCAAAGATACTTTAAAATTCGTTTTAGTATGTTAGTATGTGAAACTAGTCGAAAAATCGCAAAGAAGCAGAATATAAACTCGAATATTTTGAAAACTTGCACGTGTCTTATGCAATACTTCACAGCTATGGCTTCGTTTGTTATATTAGAAAGCCTTGACGGGCAAAGGTTCRTGGGATTGGACCTTTATTTGAGTATTAGGGGCTAAAAAGGAAAGGGTTCGGAAAAAGCTTTGGCCGCCATTTTGTGATGGAAATTATATTACCAAAATTGGTAATGTTCCGGACTGTAAACTGCGCACACTAATTTTGTCTATATAAGTATCGCATGCAACATGCCTAAGTACATCAAAGTTACAACAGTCGTATTGCTATTAACACTTTTAAAGCCGGAGCCTCGAACACAGTGCAGCCTCTTTTTACTCAGACCCTGTGTATTTTTCGTTTAACAGCTCCTACTACCTCAACTCCAGCAAAACAAATTAATCTCAGCAAATGCACCCTCATGAACAGTTTTGCAAATAACAACAATATAATACTTACCTCGTCAAGTGGCTACATCTACAGCCCTGGATACCCGTCTGACTTCCCATATGAGATACAGTGCACATGGCAAATCAAAGCACAAAGCGGAAAGAAGATCAAGCTCTACTTCGAATACATGAACATTCCGCATGCTGGTGAATCCTGCAATGGCAATAGTGCCTACCTTCGAATTCATGACGGGTACAATTCAACGAGCACGAAAAAGGTCGACTACTGTGGGACTACTAACCATACTATCCATTCATCAGGACGGTACCTTTGGTTACGCTTTGTATCCAGGAAAACCGCAAAAACTTCAAAAGGATTTAAGTTGAGATACACTACCGAGAGTGAAGGCACTACCGAGAGTGAAGGCAGTGGTAAGTATTTCAGTT